TTTTTAAAGTTAGACCTTGGGTCATTTCCTCAGATAAAGATGCAGGGGGAAGGTAAATAAATCCTTAAACTTATTTTTTTTAAGATTTCATTTATTTATTTGAGATAGAGAGAGAGAGAGACAGAGCAGGGGCAGGAGGAGTGTCAGAGGGAGAAGCAGACTCCCCACTGAGCAGGGGACCCCGGGATCATGACCTGAGCCGAAGGCAGAGGCTTAACCAATGGAGCCACCCGGGTGCCCCTAAATACTTCAACTTTTAAGGGGCCTAGAATACCATGTGTGAGTGATCTCTGTGAGGATGACCAGCAAAATGTGGCAGGGCATCGCGGGAGAATTACAGCATTGGCTCAGGGGTCTATGCCAACGCCCGGGGGGATGTTGCCCCCACTCAGGGATAGCCTGGAGGTGTACAGATGTGGCCCACGGCCTGAGCTCCAGTCCAGCCTCCACTCTGCTAGCTGGGTGAGCCTGGGAGAGCTACCTAATGTCTCTCTGTGTCTCCATTTGCCCACGATAAGATGGGATGTTAATAGTACCTCTTCAAAAGGTTATTATGAAGGGGCGCCTGGCTGGTTCTGTTGTTAGAGCCTGCGACTCTTGACCTCAGAGTTGTGAGTTCAAATCCCCACCTTGGGCATAGAGATTACTTAAAAACAAAAAGGTTATTGTGAGGATAATGAAATAAAACATGTAAAGCACTTGTAACACATTCTAGCATATTCTCAGGGCTCAATATTACTGTTACCATTCTGATTGTCATACTCAGCAACAAAGATAAACAGGACACAAAGACAACTGTATGCAGGCAGGGCCACCCAGGACTCAGTCCCCTCGGGAACAAAGGTTGGGGTCTCCACAATCTCAGCTGGCAGAGAGAGGACCCAGGAGCTAGGGGACCAGCAACGGGGTCATGGGGACAGATGACTCAGAGATGTCAGTTCTAGAAATAAGAATGGAAGCCTCTGCCCTGTATTTCTTGCTCACTGGGTCACTTGCATCTTTAAGATGTTTTTCTCTTTGGGGGCACCTGGGTGGCTCAGTCCTTCGGCTCAGGTCATGATCCCAGGGTCCTGGAATCGAGCCCCGCATCGGGCTCCCTGCTCCGCGGGAAGCCTGCTTCTCCCTCCCCCACTCTCCCTGCTTGTGTTCCCTCTCTCGCTGGCTCTCTCTCTGTCAAATAAATAAATAAAATCTTAAAAAAAAAAAAGATGTTTTTCTCTTTGTAGGTAATATAGGCTTTGGTGTTTGATTTTATTTCATCCATAGGTTGTAGGATATTAAGCCAATATGTGGTTGAGACGTGGACATACTCAGAGTTCTTGGACTCAGAGACCGGCCACCCTATTACATCACTTCAGAGCTCTGTGGATTGTCACCTGTCGGGAATGGGACAGTGCATGTGTGGTTCACATGGGGCGGTCACCGTAAAGTAGAGCATTTGGGGACTGGGACCGTGGAAAAAAGGGTGTTTGTGTGTGAGCGCTGGGCAGCCAAAGGGTAGACTGCAGTGACTCGGGAAACCCCACTAGGATTGCTGATGCTGATGAGGCAGAGGTCACAGGGTACTGCTCCCAACCAAATTAAACTCAACTTTTCTCTCCTTGGAAATGAAATCTGGTGCCAAATCACACCGGGAGAGAAGAAGCCTGGAGCCAGGTCAACTCGTAACAGCATCCTACGGACAAATTCCATGAGTTCCAGCTGCTGAGACCCCAGCATTTCCCTAGTTCTTTCCTTTAATCTGGATGCTCATCTCTCCCTTCATTTGATATCCTTCTGATAAATCCCCTTCTCCTGCCAATTCGCTAACTTCAGTTTCTCTCACCACAGTCAAAGAATCCCAACGGACACCAGCTTGCTCCCCCTCTGTGCTCCCAGAACAATAAAGGCAGGTATAGAGTTAGTGGCTCAGCTGGCCCTGGCTTCCATTCGGAAACACACGAAATTCATGTAAAATACCCATAGTAGGATTAACAACTCCAGTACGAGTTGAACTTGGCTTCAGAATCCACACAGAGAACAAGCAAATGCATCATTTTGTGGGCAGCTAGAAATCTTCTGGAATGAGTGAGAGCAGATGCTGCTAAACTAGCCTCCCTCGTTGTCCCTCCTAGTCACACACACACACACACACACACACACACACAAACACACACACAAGAACAGGCATGCATGCACACACACACTCTCACCAGGATGCCTTGCTGGGTCCGATGAGAATAAAAGCCACTGGCGAGAGGAGAGATGCCCACAAGCAGCATGTCTGAGATCTCTGCAGAGAGCAAGAGTCTGGCTGTCGGCTTGCTCGTCTCCATCCACAGAGAAATGCACTTAGCAAGGCACCCACAGATCCTCGTTGGGATATTCAGGGTAAGGCACTCTTGCCAGACCTTTGCCTGAGATTTCTCTCCAGGAAAATTTAGTGGCATTGGAGGGGAAGGAATTACCACAAGCTTTCTATGTCTTAGGCACAGAGGGATGGGCCTGCTCCTTTCAAGCCACTGATTCTCTTGCATTTGTGAAGATGGATCATTTAGACGTGGTGCCTAATAGACCTGAACGTCCCACCCACTGAATGACTTTGTCTACTTACCCTCACTAGGCCTCATTGTCCTCCTCCGCAGCAAAATCTAAAAGATAATATTTATCAAGAGAAGCTGTTATGGAAGTTAAATGCTATTACACAATGTGTAATCAGCCGTGCCTGCCTTATCACTGTCACTTGATTATAGTGAAATAACATAAAAATTCCAATAGCGTAGGATTTCTTGTTTAGTGTTTGGGGAGGATAAAATATGTAGGAAAGATTTCTGCCAGCCTTGTAAATGATTACTTTCGTTCTGACGGTGGTGGCGAATACAGAGACCTGGTTTTACGTCTTCATTATCTGATGTAGGCAAGATGCTGGTGAGCAGTGTGAATGGGTGGGTTAGTTTCAGGGAGTGATTTGCCAAGAGGCGTTAGCAGATTTGGCCCGAAACCATAAACCAGACATGGTTGTTGCCTGTACAGTGAAAGGTCGGGAGTCTTGGGAAGGTCTCTCTGTCCCAAATAGTCCTCCCTCTGCCTTGTAAAGGCTGAAATCTGGAATGTAGGGGAAAAACATATTTCCTTTTCTTTGTTTCAACAGCAAATGGTAGCTCAGAAATTCCCCTTCAAGAATTGTGTGGTATTCCTGTGTCAGGTATGGAGGGTCCCTGACCTGGGGGCAGAGAGGGTAAAAGGGATCAGACCGGGACCCCGAGGGAAGGAGCAACTGGACACCCCTGGAGCAACAGCCTGAGCAAGGGTCTTCTGTCTCCTTTGGATTTTCTTCTGAGCACCTGCATGGCCAACTGCCCATTGGTCTTCATACCTGGATGTTGCCATGGCACCTTCAAGTTCACAGGTCCTAAAAAGAACTCGGGATCAGCCTGTAGGAGCATCTCTGGACAGATGTCACCAGCCTCCCTCTACCCAGTCTTAGCGTGGTGGAGACGCCCAGAGTCCTCCCTTCCTGCCTGCACACACCCAGTTTCTCAAGAGTCCACCTCTAGAATACTTCGCCGGTTTCTGCCTTCCTCTCTCCTGCTGGATCACACCCCGCTCCTGCCTCCTTTCAGGCGGCTCTACAACTCCAAATCCCACTGCAACACGGCCCCCCCCCACCCCCTTAAACTCAACCGCAAGCTGACTCCCAAGATTAGGGAAAGAGTGGATTTCTCTGGTTAAGACGCTTGGAGAATAAATTGTCCCATGTGCTTTGGGACCCCATTATGGGGTTTTCTTTCGGAGTCTGGGCATAGTCAGTCATTGGGAGAAGGTCTGGTTGTCGCGATGAAGGCTAGCTTTCTAAAGCTACCTTGTTCCCTCACCCCCCGCCACCCCCGCCTCTCGGGAAACCCTGCTACCTTTAGGACCTGGAGGATCCGAGTGAGGGAGGTGTCACCCCTCCCCGCCCCCCGCGAAGCAGGCACCGAAACAGCTCTAATGGGAACCAGCAGGCATTCCGGGAGGGCTCACAACCCGGGTGTGGGATTCCTGCAGAGACCTCAGGGGACCGTCAGAGGCGCTGGGGTGCGATGGGGGTGGGAGAGGCTGCCGAAAGATGTTGGATCAGTGGGTGGGGGCCCCAAACTCCCAGCACGAGAACAGCGGGAGCCCGTCGCCTAGGACCCCGCGGCCGCTCAAACGGGTGAACCTGACCTCTCCGGGAAGTCCCACCGCGCCGCTCTTCCCTCGCTCGCCCGCCACCACCCCACTTACAGAACTTCTTTAGAATTCGGGATGTATGTGTAATTTCCCAGCGAGAGCGGACTAAGGGCGCTCTCCAACGAGGGGGCCACCCCAAAGTCCCCCGAGAGCCTCTTTGGCAGGGTTCTCAGGGCTGGGAGCCTGGAGCGGGGCAGACTTGCCCGGTAGTGGCGCGCAGCCGCCGGCCCAAGTGAGCTCCGGGGCGAGCGCGTCTCACCCCCCAGGACCCTGCGTCCACCTCCTCCGCCTCGCCCCGGCCTTCGGCCCCGGCACCGGGCAGCGGGGAGAGTCGCACGTGGGCCGCTCCCCGGGGAGGGGGGCAGCAGGGTGGGGGCTGGGGCGCCGGCCGGAGAAGTGGGAGGGGACAGGTTGGGGGGTGGTCTCTGAGGAGGAGCCAGGCCGGACTGTATTGTTCCACACTCGCCGCCCCCAGTGCGCGGCGCCGGCCGGGGAGGGCGCGCGGGGCGCAGGGCGCTCGACTTCCCGGGTTCCCCCCGCCGCCGGACCCCGCGACGAGGCCCGAGGCTCCCAGCGCGCCCGGAGACGCCTCTGCTGGGTCGTCCGGGCTCCGAGGGAGGGCCCGCTCAGGTGGGGCGCGGGGAAGGGAGGCAGCCGGCGCCGGTGGGGCCGGGACTCCGCCACTGCGGGAGCGGGAAGTCCCAGCAGGCCGCCCCCCCGCCCGCCGCGCAGCCCCCGCTGGGTCCGCGGGCCCGGAAGCCGGGGGTAGGCGGCGCGGGAGCGCGGGCCCCCACCTCACCTCCGCCGCACCCCGCGCCCCGCAGGACCATGGCCGCGGGACGCAGCCGCCGGGAGCCGCCGCGCGGATGCCGGGGCGCCCCTCCCTAGCCGGGCGCAGCCTCCTCGTCTCCCGGCCGGCCGGCCGCATGGGGGGCGGCGGGTCGGCCCTGCGGGTCTGCGCCGACCACCGCGGGGGCATCAACTGGCTCAGCCTGAGCCCGGACGGGCAGCGCCTGCTGACGGGCAGCGAGGACGGCACGGCCCGGCTCTGGAGCACCGCGGACGGCCAGTGCTGCGCACTCCTGCAAGGTAGACCCCTCCTGCTCTGTCCTCTCCGCCCGCTCGCCCGCCTCAGACCTCAGCCCTGAGGCCCGCAGACCCCTGCCCGAAAGCCCAGCCCCTGCCCACGGCGGGGGCCCTCGTGGGGGAGCGCTCGCCCGGGGCCCAGCGTGCGCCCGGCCGAGCGCGCGCGGGGTGGGGGGCCGAGCCGGCGGCCACCGGGACCTGTGGGCCGGGGAGCACCCGCGGCGGGGGCTACCCTCACCTGTCAGCCCAGCGCAGGAAATCATTGCCATTACAGCGGCTTTAACGGACAGCCCGGAGGGGCACCTCTGCGGCCTCCTTGGGCTAGGCAGCGCCTTCCCCCGTCTCTCACTGCCCGAGTGGCCTGTGGCCGGACATTTCCTCTAGGAGCCATTGTGGTAACCACCAGTGCTTGTGGAGTGCGGGCGGCACTGAGCACTGCCGTGGGCAGCCCTCACACTGCTGTTATCCCACTCGTGCAGACAGGGAAACTGAGGCAGGACGTAAGTTGCCCGGGGTCACACAGCCTGTGGGGGGGGTGGAGTTGAAATTTGAACGCCCCCCTTCCCCATCCGGCCATTCTGCTCTGCTCTCTCTGCAGCCTCATTTCTTCTGCTGGAAAATGAAGGGGTGTGGGGGAGGGATGGATCAAAGTTTCTCAAAAGGGGCTTGTTAAACCAGTTTAGCATATTTGAAAACATGATGCAGTGGTAGGAGGCACACATAGTTTGTTTTATAAAAGTTTCACAGATGCATACATACTGGTTTATACTTGTGTTGTACTTAGTCACTGGAGGTGGCCGTATTTCCTACCTTGGGTCCCTGTCACATGTCTGCAGGGCAGGGCTGTGAGGCGCCCCTCCTCCTCTGCTCCTGGTGTTGCCTGACCAGCAGGTACAGCCCCTTGAAGCACAAGGCTCTCTCTACTGTGGTTATTTATCACCGCCTGTTTTCTTTTCCACCAGAATCGGCAAATCCTGGGTGGCCTCCCCAGGCCTTCCAAACCATGTAGGCACAGGGAGTACAAAATCAGCTTCACTATTGGTTGATATTGACCCTACTGGTTTTATTTTTTAGTTTTTTAAAGATTTTATTTGACACACACAGAGAGAGAGAGCACAAGCAGCGGGGGCTGGAGAGGGAGAAGCAGGTTCCCCACTGAGCAGGAAGCCCGATGCGATGTGGGGCTTGATCCCAGGACCCTGGGATCATGACCCCAGCCAAAGGCAGACGCTTGAGCCACTCAGGCGCCCCGACCCTATTGGTTTTAAATAAAAGCCGTATGGTAGATATTTCAAAGCCCAGAAGAGATGAATTTTGGATTGGGGGCCGGGGTGATATGGGAGAGTCAGTTACAAACTAACACACATTCCTCCTGCTACCCCCAAAGTCACCTCCAAAGTCACACAGATTGACAGGCACCGCACTGAGACTGGAAGATCTAAGATCTGTCCAACATTTATAATCCAACTGTATTGCTTCCCAAACATAAGACTCATCTGGAGGGCTGTCAGAAATGTAAATTCCCAGGTCCCAGTTTCAGTGAGTCCCTGGTGTAGGACTCTAGAATTTGCATTTCTAACAAGATTTTGGCTGGATCTCATGCACCCTGACCCAGGGAGCCCTGGGGCCTGGTGTCCATGGTGGGAGCCCAGTTTGAAGGTGGGTTTCCTCCCCAGTTGAGCTCCAGGCCCTTCCAGGGTGGTTCTGGCCTGGTGGGCATGGGGCTCTGCACCCAGGGCAACTCTAGAGCCTAGACCACACCTCCAGCACCCATCCTCCTGTCCAGCTCTGCTGTCACCACCTAGCTCTGTGCCTGGCAGCTCCCCTTCACACCCATGGTAGTAGCCCTCACAGTGGCTTGTCCCCTCAGGACACCAACCCCTGTGTCCCGGTAAGGCTGCGCCTGCCCCTCTGGTGGCCTGGGTGAGAGCCACCCCACTCAACGGGAGAGCTTTCCAACGAAACACTGCTGCCCATTTCTACCAGAATTGTTTCTGCTGCTGTAAGGGTTGGTACTTCAAGAATTTTCACGGACAGAAGAGATAGAAGTAACCTTTCCTTATCCGGAAACTGCACTATTAGACTTACCTTGAAAAAGAGTCTTTTTGGGCGTGCAATAGTCCTTGCATGGCCCCCCAAAGAAAGCAAGGACTTTTTTGTATTAGTGAAATAGTAATAAATGTCTTGGCATTTGTTTAGTATTCTATATTTTATTAATACCCCTCAATACACTTCTTGATCCATTATTATTAATACTCAAAACTGTGAGGTAGTTAGAAGTGACACCGGTTTATAGATGAGAATGGGCAGGCACAGATTTATTTACCAACACATGTAGTATTCTAAGTGTTTTCTAGATACTTAGCGTGTGAGGTAGGTTCTGTTGTCAGCATCCCCTGAGATCAGAGTGGTTATGCGTCTTGCCCGAGGTCACACCGCAGGATTGCATGGACGGCTTCCCCCCCACTCTGGGTCACTCCCGCTCGAATCAGGACAATGCTGTAGGGCTGATCAGCTGCAGCCCAGATCCCCGGGGGTCTCCTGACTCCCACACCAGGCTCTTTCTACTCCTCTTGTGGAAACTGCCAGATTGGGGTGAGTGCTAGCACCTGGTGCGGCTCTGGGCCCCCAAGAAGGCTCTGGAGAAGAGCCTGTTGGGGGGCCAGGCCTGGATTTCTTGGGCAGAGTGGCTGGAGTGGGCAGTTCCTGCCCGTGCGTTCTCCTTCTGCACACGAGCTTCTTGCTCTGCTCAATTCCTGGGGGGCAGAGGCAGTTAGGGGCCCAAGGCTTTTCTGTGAATCTTGCAGGGTTTTGGACGTTTATGCCAAGGGATGGGCTGGAGAGGAAGAACAGGGCAGTCCCGTGTGGGCGGGGGCTTGGTGGACAAGCTGTCATCCTCGGTCCTGGAGAGCAGGCTGCGTAACCAGGGCCCCCCAGCTTCCCTCCTACAGACGCTCTGCTTTTTCGGTAAATGGAACTGGCTTTCAAATGCAGTTGGTGAGCTCCAAGCGAAGAAGTAGGCTTACCTGCCACTTATTCTGTAAAGGGAAGAATCATGTAATGGAATTATCCCCTCCCTCTCTTCTTCTTTTATCCATTGGGTGCCTACTCATTTGAGGCACTTCACTGGATCAGTGAGACAAGCAGCGTGGCCCAAGAGGCAGCCCCTGTCCTGGTCTGTTCCCAGGTAGTGAGGACCCAGCCTGAAGGTTCCAACCCACTGTAGCTGTTCCACAAGCATCCTTGTCTTCTCACAGCATCTTCTAGCATGATGGGGTGCTGTTTGTTTTTAATTCCGTGTGAACAAACTGCACACTCCTACTTACTGGAAGCCTGCTGGTGCCTGCCCATCCTGATGACTCCTGACCCCTACCCGCCACCAGGGAGCAGGAGGGGCCGTTCATAGTCAGGAGCCCGGGCTCTGGAGCTGGGCTGCTTAGGCTCAAATCTCATTACTTAACTTCTCGTGCCTTAGTTTCTTTATCTGTGAATTGGGGGTGATAAAATAGTCATCTAGCCTTAGGAGGTTATGTGTGTGGGGGGGGGCGGGGGGCAGTAAACCAGTCAATAAATAGCTCCTGGCTCTTTTAGTGGCCTTGTCCTCCAGGCCCACATCAACAAGTCTGGACTGAGTAAGAGCATCTCCTTGGCACGGTACCCGGCCAGCTCCAAAGCTCTTTGTCCTTTGCTTCTCACAGCCTGACTCCACCATTCGAGGCTCCGAAGGGCTAGCCAGTCCTCCCACGTTTATGCAGGCAGAGCGGCACTGGGGGGAAGGCTGCCCTCCTCCCTCCTGCTCCAGAGCCTTTGTCCCATTTGACAGTTGGCTTGACTGTGCTGGGCGCATGGGTTAGATTCGAAGATGCTGCCCCAGGGAATCTGCAGGTTGGCTAAACTGAGGGGCTGTGTGCACTTGAACTTCAGATAAGCAGGAACTCTGAGCTGGGGTAGTCAGGGTTCACCTCTTGGCCCAGGTGGGCCTGGAATGGACCTGGGACAATTTTTAACTCTAATAGAAAACATGTAGTATCAAATTTACCATCTTAACCGTTTTTTGTTTTTTTTTTTAAGATTTTATTTATTTGACAGAGAGAGAGAGACAGCGAGAGGGAACACAAGCAGGGAGAGTGGGAGAGGGAGAAGCAGGCCTCCCGCGGAGCAGGGAGCCAGATGCGGGGCTCGATCCCAGGACCCTAGGATCATGACCTGAGCCGAAGGCAGACGCTTAACCGTCTGAGCCACCCAGGCGCCCCTACCATCTTAACCGTTTTTAAGTGCACACTTTGAAGATAGTAAAAATTGATAATGTACTGCCATTACCACTGTCCATCTCTAGAACTTTTCCATTCTGGAAAACTGAAACTGTGTCCCCTTTGAACAATAACCCCTTTTCTCCCTCCCCCCAGCCCCTAGTGCCCACCGTTCTGTGTTCTGCCTCTGAATCTGACTGCTCTGGGGACCTCGTACGAGCTCATTTCACTTAGCATGACGTCCTCAAGGTTTGTCCGTGTTGTAGTGGATGTCAGGATTTCCTTCCTTTGGAAGGCTGAGTACTGTTCTGCTGTGTGCATTTTTTTGCCTATTCATCCGTCAGCGGACACTTGGGTTGCTTCCACGTGACTGTGGTGGGAAATGCCGCTATGAGCTTGGGTGTGCAAACATCTCTTCCAGGCCCTGTTTTCTGTTACTTTTGTAGATACCCAGAAGTGGGCTTGCTGAATCATCTCCTACATATTTGTTTTCAAAGATTTTATTTATTTATTTGAGAGAGAGACTGAGTGAGAGAGAGAATGCACATAAGCCAGGGAAGAGGCAGAGGGAGGGAGAAGCAGACTCTCCGCTGAGCAGGGAGCCCGAGGTGGGACTTGATCCCAAGGCCCTGGGATCATGACCTGAGCTGAAGGCAGACACTTAACCAACTGAGCCACCCAGGCGCCCCATCTCCTACATATTTTTGAAAGAGCATGTGGGGGCACAGGGAAGGCTCTCAGACATAAACACATCAATATTACCTTCATCCCAGTCAAGGAAGAATTCCATCAAAACGCGGTTTGTTTTAAGCATGGATGTGACGGAAGCCCAGGCGGGTAATTCATTCTTCAGCGCTTCAGACGCCGCCGTCCACGGATGGTGAGCTCCCCGTGGGTGCGGACTGAGCCAGAGAGCAGCCTGGTGGAGGGCGTGGGCTGAGAGGGGCTGGGCTGGAAGGACAGGCCCTGCGGTGGCACCGGCAATAGGAGCATCAGCCTGTCCTGGCTGGGAGCTCGGGGCAGGAGGTTGAGTCTTCCGTGGCTTTGTCAGACACTACTTCAGCCACACCTTCCTTCCCCCCACCCCCCACCCCGGGGCACGTCGGTATCACTGCTGTGGCTTACTGATGCGCACATCCAGAGGTGGCCCCAGCAGGCAGGAAACAAAATGGCACCCTCAACATAGTAGCTGAAGGCGAGTTTGATAGAGGCCCTTGCCAAAGGTGGGCATGGTAGGGGATCCCCCGTACCTGTGGCTGGTACCTCTCAGCGCTCCCAGACCTGGAGGAGCCAGGGCAGGGAAGCGTTCACGGCTGCCCGGAAATGGCTGTGGAGAGGCCTCCAGAGAAGTGTGACCGTGGCTTGAGGTTTTGATGGATGCAGGCCAACAGATCCTGCCCCAAAGTCTCCTGGGCTCCCAGCTGTCTGAACCCTGTGGGCAGTGGGGGGATCAGGGAGCCCCCAGGGTGTGGGGGGGCTGCAGGGAGCAGGCTGGAGAAGAGGAGAGGGACCCGGAGGGGCAGACAGAAGCCTTGCCAGGGACAGCAGAGGGGAAAAGGAGGCCCCGCTTTTCATGCCAAGTTAGTCAAACGAATGTTCCAGCTCGGCTGGTGCCCACGCCAGCCCACCTCTGCCGCCGCAGACCCCGGGGGGCCAGTGCCCTGAGCGGTACTCCTGCTTGTGGAGGGGGCACTTCGACTCCGAGCCTCCAGCGAGTCCCAGGGTGTGCGGCTGGGGAGGCAGGGAGGGCCGACTGACTTGGCAGAAACCCCTGAGCCTCAGCATGTCCTTTTGAACATAACTGCATCTTATCTGCATTCTTTATCCCTTCAAAAATGTTTATTTTTAGTTTGGCTTTTTTGCTTATTCTACACAATTCCAACAGCTCGTGGTGGTGCTGTGGTCCCTGGGGACAGGATGGGCCCTCTGCTCCCCAGCCTCTCTCACCCATCCCTCCCCGGGGGACCCTGTAAGCTGTGCCCTGTGGACCCTGTCGTATGGTCTGTGGACTGCTGCCGGGAACACGCTCTGCAGCCTCTGCTGGCCGGGCTCTGAGCTGGGACTCGCTCATGGGGTTTCAAGTGTGGAGTGGGTCCCTGGTGTGCAGAGGAAGGGGCTTGTCCCTGGGAGGGCCTTGACTGCTGCAGGGAGCCTCAGCCAGCCCAGGACAGAGGGTCAGCCTGGCCCAGCCTCAGAGATGGGAGGAAATTTTTTATTTTTACACTGAAAAAATTCTTTTCATTATTGACTCTTTTCTTCAAGTCTTTGTTTATAGGTATTTATATGTGTGTGTGTGTATTTAAAGGTTTATTTATTTTAGGGAGGGGTGGGGGAGGGGCAGAAGGAGAGAGAATCTCAAGCAGACTCCACACTGAGCACAGAGCTGGACACGGGGCTTGATCCCACGACCCCGAGATCGTAACCTGAGCCAAAATCGAGTCAGCCCCTTAACCGACTGTGCCCCCGGGCGCCCTTACAGATATTTATATTTTTCTTGTATATATCCTTTCTTTCCCTACTTCCATGGGTCATACAATTGGTCCCACATCTCATGGTCTTCCACATCCCTGGTCTAGTGGCTGTTGCTTCACTGAGTACGGGTGCCACGGCTTACTGGCCACACCGCTTTCCAGCGCTTTTCTTGGCCTAATATACACTTGGCACGTCGCCTTCCTGCTGTCAGAAGCTGTTGAGACGGGACAGAAGCAGCCAGGATGGGGCCGATGCCCCTGCGGAAGCCTCTCCTGGCCTGGCTGGCGCAGGACGACGGCACAGGGTCCGAGGAGGATTGTGGGGTCGGGGGGGGGGGCGGTGTGCAGGGCTGGCTCGCCTGCACCCTACTGCCCTCGGGGTGCCGGGCCGCCTTCCAGCCAGCCCTGGAAGCCAGGTGGTTCCTCAGACACCGCCAAGCCCTCCCCATGGCAGCTCTAGTTTCAGGGAAAGTTTGTTGACAATCTTGAAATATTTTATAAACATTTTGGGGTTGGCAAAAAGCTGGGCTGTGTTTTGCCAAACACATTTTGCCCTCGACTTCTAAACTGACGTGTATTTTAAGGAAACCTAATCTGCATCATCTTCCAGTGTTTACTTCACACAGACGTCGTTTGCTTAGAGGCCTGGTCCATGCTGTCCGAGAAGATCGAAAATCATGTCTTCTTTTCTTTTGTTTTTTAAAATTCTCTTTCTTAGAACCCAGGGAGTTGGGTTCTTCCAAGAGTAACTGAGCTAAAACCCCAGGGCCAAAAAGTGCACATCAGCTTGAAACTGCCCGGAAGATTCTAAATCCCTGTCTGGGGGCTCCTGGGTGGCTGAGTCGATTAAGTGTCTGCCTTCAGCTCAGGTCATGATCCCAGGGTCCTGGGATGGAGTCCCACGTCAGGCTCCCTGCTCCGCGGGGAGTCTGCTTCTCCCTCCCCCTCTGCCTGCAGCTCCCCCTGCTTGTGCTCTCTGTCAAATGAATAAATAAAATCTTAAAAAAAAAAAAGAGTTACCTGTGGTGGAAACATTTTTTAAAATATATATATGAGTCTATAGGTAGAGAAATAGATAGTCTTTGCATATACGGGCATATGTCTGACCCATAAATTCTGATTTTAGATTCTAAGTAGATTTAGATTTTATCACGTGGGACGTTAAAGGATTTTGTTGTTGTTTTTTAAGTAAACTCTATAACCAACGTGGGGCTCCAACTCATGACCCCAAGATCCAGAGTCACATGCTCCACTGACCGAGCCAGCCAGGTGCCCCGAGGCGGAGCCATCTTTACCTGAAGGACAGTCCCTACTCTGACCGGGGAGCTGAGTGCTTCGGGGGCTGCTTTGTAAGCCAGGCCGATAGTCACAACACTGACCATCGCCCCGATAAGATGGACGAGCGGGGGCCCTTGGCCGAGCCCCCAGGCTCTGTGTGGCCCTCGGTCTGTCCTAGACCTCCACCCTCACTATGTGTGTGCCTTATCCACCATTTCTGCCAAACACCTAAATTCTGCTTTGGGGTGTGACATCTTCTCTCCCAGAACACTCTGCTCCCCTCCCCTCCCCACGCAGGCCCCGCGTGGACCCTTCATGCCCTGCATCACCGGGGCTTCTGCTCCACTGACCTCCGACATGCTCTGTCCAGCAGCTGTCATTCATGTCGGCTAACGCTCTCCTTCCGGGCTCGTGCTCCCTTTGAAGGCAGGGGAAGTGTCTTAGTTTCCTGTGGCCGCTGTGACCGGTGATCCCACAGGGTGCCTTAAAACACAAGTTTCTTCTGGCGCAGTTCAGGAGGCCAGAAACCCAAAGCCAGGGTCAGGGGGCCCAGATCAAGGTGCTGGCAGGGCTGTTCTCGTTCTGCAGCCTGTGGGGGAGAACCGCTTGCCTCCTCGGGTCCTGGCGGCCGCTGGTGCTCCTTGGCTTGTGCGGGTGTCCCCCATCTTTGGGGCCCCTTCAGGTCACTCTGCGCTGTCTCCACAGCGTCCTCTCCCCGTGTCCTCACATCTCTCTCTGCCCCTTCTAACAGAGACACTTGTGGCATTCCTGGCCATAAACCAGGACACTGCCCAGCTCAAAATCCCTACTTACATCTGCAGGTGTATCTTTTTTTCCAAGTAAGGTAACATTTCTAGTTTCCAAGAACTAGGACCTGATACCTCTCCCCAGACAGCCACCATCCAGCATTCACTCAGTCTGCGCACCTGCCCCACGAGATGGGGTCTGTGCCTCTCCCCACGGCAGATGAGGAGATGGAAGTGTGCAGAGGTGAGTCGGTAGCAACACCAGGAGCTAGGCCAGGTGTCCTGGCCCCAAAGGCCAAGGACCTGGGCCTCTGTACTTCCTGCCTCTGTGACAGTGGTTTTGTTCAATGACTAAGTGACGACAAACAACTGAAGAGTTTGAAGAAGACTGACAGGAGCCCAGGAGCCCATGAAGAAGGGGGAGGGGAGAAGAGGGAGGAGGGAGAGAGAGTGGAAAAAGAGAGAACAAAGGGATCTGGGGGCAGGGGCAGTGCCCCCTGAATTTCTCCTGGCACCCCATAGCTCCTGGGACTCCCAGACTGAAATCGTCCCTCCGAAGGGCTGGTGATCCTGGACTCATCCCGAACACCCCCCGCCCCACCGCTTTCTTCCCGGAAGGAAGACGAGAGCTGCCACGCCCCCATGCGCTCACATCACCCCCTCGTCTGCAGGGCACGAGAGCTATGTGACCTTCTGCCAGCTGGAGGACGAAGCTGCCTTCACGTGCAGCGCTGACCACACCATCAGGAAGTGGGACGTGCGCACCGGGCAGTGTCTGCAGGTCTTCCGAGGACACACGTCCATCGTGAACAGGTCTGTGTGGCCGGGGCCCCAGGGGACAGAAGTGTAGGCCGTGCAGCCCCTGCCCCTGGAGGAACTTTGCTTCTCTGGGGATGCCCACCTGCAGATGCATGTGTTTCAGGCACAAGGGGCTGACTGCCCGGGGCTGCATGTGGGGGTTCGGGAGGCAGAGGTTGGGGAACAGAGCACCACCAACACATTGATTGTGCCCGGACCCCGGCAGCGCACGGTCCACTGCTAGGCACGGGGAAGGGCAATGGAGGCCTGAGATCCTACTGATGGCAACACATCCCAGAGAAGGTGGTCTAATTGGTACCTGATGGTCGGCCCGGGGGGGGATTGTTCTGAAGACGAGTCCAGAGTATTTGTAAACCTCTCCTTTCCATGTTGTTGTTGAAATAACCCACCCCCGCCTTCTCAAGGAGGTTTGAATTTTTCCCTTCCTTATTGAATTTGGGTCTGAGCTGAGCCATGAAAATTCCTTCGCTGATCAGATCAATTTGACACTATTTATGTAACTTGTGGTGGCCGACTTAGACTCCTGAGGGAGTGTCCAATACGACCAGGAGTCTGGGCACCTGCCCGCAGGCCCTCAAGGCCTCACTGACGGGGGGTGGGGGGCGGGGTGGGTGCCTGGGAGCTGAGCTAAGTCAGTCAGGAAAAGGGCTCAGTGCAGGCAGGCACTTGGAGGGTCAGGGGCTGGGCTGGGCTGGGCGGCTGGAGGAGGAGAGCTGTTCTCAGCCACAGGGATGCTGCCAGCCTGAGCTTGGTGCAGACCTGGCTTGGGGTGGGAAACGACTCGCCCAGTGGTTTAGTGCTTGCTGGGGGATGGGGGGGAATGGGGGGCCCAGACCCAACACTGACTGGAGTACCAGCTGCCTGCAGTCAGAACCGTGCACCCACAGGGCAGGAGCCAGGTACCGTCCCTCAGCAGAGAGACAGCTCAGGATGGTTGCGAGTGGAGAAGGTCACCTTCCTGCCCCTGAGCTATTCTGAATCCTGCCTCTTCCGGTGGAGGAGGGCACACCTCCTGCTAGTCGCTTCCCGACACCCTTCCTTGAGGAAGAAGTTTGTGACTGAGGAGAGGTGTGGGTGTGCGGGAGTCTCGCGTTGCGAGGCCGGGACGGGTGGGAGAGGCCACATCTCAGTACCGGCTTGCGCTCAGCTTGTAACCGGAAACTATCAGCTGCTCCTCAAAAGCAAACCTGGATAATCGAGGCTAGAAATTATGCTCTGCTGGGTTCAGACTCTCCTGAGCACACACACACCATACACACATGTTCACACACACCGCGTTTGAGGGGTCGAGGTCCCAACGGGTCGTTCTGGGCAGATACTAAGGGTGACTTAGCAACTGGATTGCATTTCTAAGTAACTGTGCTCACAGATGTGCCATTTCTTTGACCATTTCCACCCCAAGGATGTGGAATTCACCTCTTCCCGTGTTTGCAGAGCCTGGCCGGGTGTGTGAGTTTTGGGGGGCACCAAGCATGCCTTCTCATGCCAGGCCAGACCGGGCAGGCCCCTGGCCCCCAGAACATCCCCGGTGGTGCCACGTGCTGTCACGTGGTCACTTTCCCTTACACATTTGCATGTCGTAAAGACCGTACGGACAGGGTGCTAGGGAGGAAGTGAGTCCGAAGCAGTGCGCGCATTGGCGCGGTCGGCCTCCCCACTTGCCTGTGGGAAGTGAGCACCGCGCGGAGGTGAACAGTGTGGATGGCGAGCAGGCGGGAGAGCTGTTCTCAGGGCCCATCTCTCCCCACACCTGGGCCAGGCTCGCGGGCGGAGGGAGCAGCCCGCGCCTCTGACACAAAGACGCGAGGTCGCCACTGCTCCGTCCCCACACTTGTGACACGCCGGTCCAGCTGCCACTCCTGCCCCCCTTTGTGGGCTCCTCTTGGTGGGGGGGAGCTCAGAGCTTCCTAACAAGGGTGTGTGAACAGAGCCTTTGATGGCATGCAAAGTCCTCCACTGAAGACCAACGTGTATTTTCTGGGGAGAAGTTCTTAGCATTCATCAAAATGAGACTGCGAATCGTGAATATTTGCTGCTCTGGAGGCCTCTCCTCCCCCTATGGGTGTGAACAGAGCTCCGCCCACATGAAGCTCCCCGGGCTCGCTCAACACAGAGGGCCCTGTGACGGCCTGCTAGACACCCCTGCCTGCTCTGACCCCTACCCCACCCCTGCATGCTCTGACCCCTGCCTCTTACCTCTGCGTGCTCTGACCCCTCCCCTACCCCTGCCAGGTCTGACCCCTGCCCCTACCCCTGCGTGCTCTGACCCCTGCCCCACCCCTGCCTGCTCTGACCCCTACCCCACCCCTGCATGCTCTGACCCCTGCCTCTTACCTCTGCGTGCTCTGACCCCTCCCCTACCCCTGCCAGGTCTGACCCCTGCCCCTACCCCTGTGTGCTCTGACCCCTGCCCCTTACCCCTGCGTGCTCTGACCGCTGCCCCACCCCTGCATGCTCTGACCCCCGCCCTTTCCCTCTCCCCACCAGGATCCTGGTCGCCAACAACCAGCTCTTCAGCAGCTCCTACGACCGCACAGCTCGAGCCTGGAGCGTGGACGGGGGGCAGGTGTCCCAGGAGTTCCGGGGCCACCGCAACTGCGTGCTGACCCTAGCCTACTCTGCACCCTGGGACCTGCCTGGGGCTCCATGTGCCGAGGAGGTTGGGGGGCTCCTGGTGACGGGCAGCACGGATGGCACGGCCAAGGTGTGGCAGGTGGCCAGTGGCTGTTGCCACCAGACGCTGCGGGGCCACACGGGGGCCGTGCTCTGCCTTGTGCTGGACACGCCCAGTCACACCGCCTTCACCGGCAGCACCGACACCACCATCCGTGCCTGGGACATCCTGAGCGGGGAGCAGCTGCGGGTGTTCAGGGAGCACCAGGGCTCTGTCATCTGTCTGGAGGTGAGATCTGCCGGGGAGGCCCCCGGGCCGTCCCCTGAGCCCTACCCTGCGTACTAGTTAGCTTGCCCGGGTAGCGGACCGGGTAGCAGACGAGCAGCTTGCACGACAGAGACGGATGGTGTCACCGCTCTGGGGGCTGCAAGTCTGGGATCCAGGTGTTGGCCTGTATGTAGCTGGCTGTGTTCTCACGCGGCCGTCCCTGTCTCCAGACGTCCCCTTCCTGTAAGGACACCAGTCCTACTGGATTAGGTTCCCCCCCAATGACCTCATTTTAACTTAACTACCTCCTTAAAGACCCTGTCTCCAAATACACTCACAGTCACAGATACGAGGGTTAAGGCTGTTCTCAACATAGGAATTTTGATTTCTTTACATGTTAAGGGAGGATTATGGCTACCCAGAAACCCTGGTCCATAATTCCTAAATCCAAAAGTTCCACAACACGAAGTTATGTGTGTGTGTGTGTGTGTGTGTGTGTCGTAAAGACCGTACGGACAGGGTGCTAGGGAGGAAGTGAGTCCGAAGCAGTGCGCGCATTGGCGCGGTCGGCCTCCCCACTTGCCTGTGGGA